TACCACCGCTGAGTGGCCGGGTCACCGGCTCGGCTCCTCAGCGAAAACCTGAATATGCGCTGCATCTGCTGCCTACTTATACTCACGCTGTGATCAGCAGCAGCTGGATGCAATAATCGCATGCCAATGTGCATTGGCTCGTTTAGTTTACACTCGAATTAGATTGGTCCCTCTAAGCGAGATCCCAATTCGTCGGTCATCCGATGTGACGTCTCCGTTCCCTCCTTCAGGGAACGAGGGTTACATACGTAACCGAGATGTTCTTTTTCACTGCTTTATTGCGCTTAATAGCTTTATTAAACATTAAGCACGTCCAAAATTTGCGATTACATGCTGACTGAGAGAGCTTTCTGTGTTCACGCTTCAGGAGTGTGTCAGACTGTGGGAGCGCTGCATGAAGTTCTTCACTGCATACTGCGCTTAATAACTCTATATTTAACATCAAGCACGTCCGACTCTATATTGGAGCATATCAATAAACCTTTTAAATAGCCAATAGCATTTAATTTTAATCACAACAGTTTGATTTAAAACTCTTATAGCTCGCTCAGTAATCATATTATTCCAAAACAATAAAAGTGGTGACAAAGACAGTAAACAGCAGAATTGGGATTTTCTTTAATGCTGAAAACTATAAAATCTTAGAGAAATCCAGTTTGATCCCATTAGGGTAATTAAAGAATTGGTGCCAAATTATTATTTACTAAATTACTCCCAGAATCCTCTACAGATTCCTTTTTGACTGGGTTTGGTGTCCTCAGTTAGCATACCATCTGTTTAAAATGATCAACTAATATGTGAATGATAAATATAGTGAATTTCATTTAGGGTATAATCGAAGCTCAGACACAACAGATGGGTCTGAAAAGGCAGGTGTAGACAGACTTTGCACTGATTATGAAAGAAAGACAGTATCAATCACTATTATCAAAGCAAATGTCGTAAACTGTATTCAAGTCACTAATGCATTACTGGAGGCTGGGGCTAGTTTTTAACATATTTACTGCACTGAACATTTACATTTTGCATATAAGTTTATGCATTTAGCAGACACTTTTATCCAAAGTGACTTAGAATTTGCCACAGCCAGCAATATTCATAATACACAATACCAGGTTTATTAAAAAATTACTATAGATTAGGAAGCAAGCTAGAGAGTTGGAGTCGATTTATTTTGACAGTCAGTCTCTGTATAGACATATAGAAAAAACGAGCATTTGTGTAAATTGGACTTAGTTTTTGAGACATGTAGCCCCAGCCTCCTTATGTGTAATATTAAATAATGTTGTCCTTCACTGCAGGTGTGTATCCGTGCACATGCTCAAGTGTGTGTGTGGACAGCAGGGCTGGGCTGGTGTCTTCAGAGTCGTCCTCCTGCCCAATTTGTGCCCTGGAAGGCGATGGTGTTAATTGCACCTCCAACACTGAATCGGACCGAGAGAAACAGGGGCCAGACGTCAGCTCAGAACAGAGCAAAAGAAACCAGGATTTGGAAGAAAAGGGGTCTGGGCATGAGAATTGTGTGTGTATGTGTGTACATTATGCCAGAGCCATTTTGAGGCGGATTGTGGACAGCAAGTACTTCAACAGAGGGATAATGATAGCAATCCTTATCAATACACTCAGCATGGGAGTGGAGTACCATGAGCAGGTGAAAACAATGCACTCATTTAGACACCAATCACAAATGAGATTAATTAACATCTGAGTTATTTCTATTAAACACTAGTGAAATTAAGTGGAGAAGAATCCTGCTTCTCTAGTAATCCCACATGTGTCTCCTATGTTTTAAAAGAGATCTCAACAATTTCATAAACTGTGCAGATATATACACCCCAAAATAAAAATGTGAAACTTAATTATAAAAATATTCAATGCAAACGGAGATATCGTCTTTTAAAATTCTGGCAGTTTAATGCCTACAAAAACGGCTGGTAGGGACTACAACAAGTTTTCCTTCCCGGGTTCGTGACATCACAAAACCAGATAAACCCCGCCCTCGGGAAAAGGCAGCTAAGGGGGCGAAGCCATGCTGCGCTGCTTTAGAGAAGAGGAAGAGAAAACTAGGGGTGCACGTAAAAATCTATTCATATATGAATCGCAATTCTGTTTTCTAACGATTCTAATGGATTCACAAGTTTCAAAATCAGTGTTCTAAAGCAGCGGTTCTTAATACTGTTCCTCGCATCCCCTGCTCTGCATACGCTCTGCATCTCTCTCTCTCTCTCTCTCTCTCTCTCATAGCTATGAGAAGCGTTATACATGGACGCGCGTGCAGTTGCCATATTGTATTAAAGCTTTAATCAGGATAAAACCATATATTAAAAGCTAAAATAAGCAGTAGCATTTACAAATAACAGCATATCTAAAAGTATGAGACAACAACAAACAAAAAACATAGGCCTACTATTAAAAGCTGTGCTTGCACAGGTTATGCACAATCTTCTTCAATAATATCCTCTGCTTCTCAATCGGGCTCAAACTGATAAGTGATATTAACGACGCCGTTGTTTACAATACAACCGGAGCACATGCCGCTGAGGTGAGGGGCGGGACGTTTAGACGCGCACTTGAGGCTGTTTAGCTAATCACAACACACTGGGCTAGCTAACCAATCAGAGCCCATCACCTATTTCTGAGGGTGGGGCTTCATAAAAGCAGGAAATGATCAGCATGTTTCTCAGAGAAGAGACAGAGCGGTGTGGAATAAAGGTAAATTATGTGGAAAATAATGCGGTTTTTTTTTTTTACGAAGCATTAACACATGTTAGACTGCACCCCATAAACACAGTCAAGCCTAGAAAAAAAACAGTGAACCACCCCTTTAATCATTATTTTTAGTACAACAACACTAGAACACTAGGTTATTATTATTATTGTTAACAATAATGTTTAAAGGGAAATATTAGTTTATTAGTTTTATTAGTTTTTTCTACTTGAATCTGAGGACTAAGATTTAGTTTATAATAACGCTTGCAATTTCCAATGTGCCAGTGTCATTTTGGATCCAAATCTGTGCATTCTGTCTGTGACCGAAAAATTATTCATGTTTTCCAAATTCAAATGGATACTTAATTATTTATATATATTATATATATATTATATATACACGTATTATTTATATAAACATGTACAACAAAGTTGATACCTGATTGAAACATAATGAGTCCCTCAGTTAATCTCCTGAAATATGAAATGGTGACTTTGAGCAATACAATTTTTAGTGTCTGTTTTTTGCTGTTACATACAAATAAATGCCCTAGTGTCACTCATTGTAAAACAACATGATCCCCCAGCGCTGTGATTCTATGCATGTTTGTGGCTCATATTGCATTTAATTAACCCCCTTTGTTAGGATTAGAGTGTCTGTGTGAGACTGAGAGGGAGTCTGATATTAACCGGTTTGAGGCAGAGGACATTCACACTGTTGCCAGGGAAATGATTATTTACATTACAGTAGACACGGTTAATAACAGCGCTCACCTGCTCTTCCTCTGCAAGAAATAAAGCCACATGGAGAGAAGAAGAATAAATAGAATGTCATGACAGTAACAACACTGTAGTTTAGCTTTTGTATACGCTCGTGTTAGCAGCATATGTTTTACAGACATGAATAATACCTCAGATCACATGGCTTGTTGAGGAGAAGTGTGCCATTACTTTTCAAAGCCTTTTTCATCTGGTAGGGAAAAAAAAAAAACGGAAGCCTACATGTTCACACAAATATACATTGGTTGCCTGTTACTATGACACATCAGTAATATTGTAAATTCTCGTTCTTTCTTTTAGCCGGAGGAGCTGACAGACGTGTTGGAGATCAGTAATATTGTCTTCACTAGTTTGTTTGCGTTAGAGATGCTCCTGAAGCTTTTGGCCTGCGGTCTGTTCAACTATATCAGCAACCTATACAATATCTTTGACGGCATCATCGTTACAATCAGGTTCTGTGCTAATCTGTTTGTTTTACATTTGTTGTAAATGCTGTGTATTTTGACCACAGTTCTGTCTGGTGTTTTCTACAGTGTGTGTGAGATCGTCGGACAAGCGGATGGAGGGTTTTCGGTTTTGCGGACGTTTCGTTTGCTCAGGGTACTAAAGCTGGTGCGGTTCCTCCCAGCTCTGCGCAGGCAGCTGGTGGTACTGATGAAGACCATGGACAATGTGGCTACATTCTGCATGCTGCTGATGCTCTTCATCTTCATCTTTAGGTTTGTATATAAGTTCTTCCATACAAGAACAAGAGTCATACTGTTTGTAGATCATATGTGTTATGAGGTTTCATTTCCCAATTGGTTTTCAGAGGTTTTTAGTAGTTTCAGTAGAAGGAATATGATTGATCATTAAGTTTTTATTTATTTTTTAATATTCATTGATATTCATCAGAAGGTGAATTTTTCCTAAGCACAACATTATTTTGTTATTTCAATCCAGTCACAGTGAGTATGGAATTAATGTATTTATATTATGCCAGGTATCAGTTTTATTTTATACACTGATATACTATTATAGTTTTTGCTAATATTTTCAATGAGATTTTATTTGTATATTTTCTGTTTTCGTTTTTTAATTTTAAAGTTTTAGTAATTTTGTTGTGTCTTTGTCACTTAGTGTTTTTTTAATATGTCTATATAGTTTTTATTAAGTTTTAGTTTTTATTTATTGTAGTACTTAAAAAATTAGAAATGTTGCCTTGGCAACTAGCTGAAATAAAATAAGTTTAATAAGGTAAAAATACGTTTTTTAATATTTTATTTCAAACAATGAAAATTAATTTTATGTTTTTTATGATTTTTGTCAAATAATCATATTAATATTCATTCACCTTCAGTGTACCTTATCATTATGTTTAATTTCCTCCATCGCAAGCACATATTTCTCTTTTAGGAAGTAGTTTTAAGAAAAATTTTAATTACACCTTAAAATGTAATAGTGATCATTGAGAATATGCAAATTGTCTGAAATTCTGATGAAAAACTCCACTGGGACCAATTCTCACTATTAACTTTTGCCTCAATAAACTCATAATTACTGTTTATTAATAGTTAGTAAGATAGTTCAGTTTAAGCATTGGGTAGAATTAAGGGATGTAGAATATGGTCATGCTGAATAAGCCATTAATATGTGGTTTATAAGTATTAATGAATAGCCAGTATGCTAATATGCATGCTAATAAGCAACTAGTTAATAGTGAGAATTGGTCCCCAAACTAAAGTGTTACCAAAAACACAATGATTTAGTGTAAAATGTATTTTGTTTTACACACTAAACAGTTTCTAGTCTTTTAAATAATGACTAAATTTCTGTATTATAACAATTATATCAGTTGTTAGTGTCAGGGTTTTGTCACAGCAATTTAATAGAGAGAGAGAGAGAGAGACCCAGATGCAGAATGATCAAGGGAGTGAGGTTTATTGACAAGGCAAGGATTAACAGGGCTTATGTGAGAGTCCAAACAGTAGGAAAGGGCAGTCTGCTGGTCCTTGGTCAGACCTGGACAAAGTTCTGCTGGAGAACAAAGGAGATAGAGCAGCACCAGTCAATGAGAACTCTGGATATCAGGCAGCAGTTTGAGAAACCAAGGCTTGATACTTTGAGCTGTAGTGATACCAGTCCAGTCAGATAGCCAGGTCTTGAGAAAAGCAACCAGGAGGGATTCAGGACACAGAACAGGAACAAACACAAGACATAACACGACACACAAGACAAGACCACAAGAGAGAACAAGCAGCAGCAAAATAACACACCGACTACGCACTATGACTAGAATGAAAAGAACAGAGAAACAAATACAAACTGCAGTGAGCAAATGAAACAAAAGAACCAAAAGGCAAATTCTTGAAAATCGATAACTAGAATAAAAACTGGGCAAAGACAAAATCAAAATAAAGAAAGAAACCAAACTAGAGGCTTGAGAAAATTAGAGCAAACAAGGACAGGAACTAGACTAGAGCAAAATAACAAAAAGCAAAGAAACCATAATTAACTTCAAGAGAACTAAATGCAAAGCTAGACTGACTAGGAGTGTAAAATATAACACTACTAATATGACAAGTAGACTGATAAGGAATTAGGCAGGACCCTGACAGTTAGCTGGACACAAATGTCACTGTTACCTGGGAATGATATTCTTGCATTTATTGCAGTAAATGTTTTGTTTTTGCAACTTTTTTAATCTCTCTCTCTCTCTCTCTCTCCCTTGTCTTCTGTGTTTTAGTATATTGGGGATGCATCTGTTTGGGTGTAAGTTTACTCTGCGTTTGGAGAATGGAGACACTGTGTCAGATAGGAAGAACTTTGACTCACTCCTCTGGGCCATCGTCACCGTGTTCCAGGTCAGAAGATTGTCCCTAAACTCTTTAATAAGCAATATATGGATGTTATATTCTTTTAAGAAAGCTAGAAATACATTAGGGAGAACTACTTATTATTGCTTAAAGCTGCAGTCCATAAGTTTTGCCTCTTTGTCGCCATCTCGGTTTGAAAGCCTGGAATTGCAGCTGAGTGCGGAATTATCTAGTTTGCGTGGGTTGTGAGTGCGGCTCCAGTGCGGATGAATCTAATCTGAAGAGTATGTGTGGCAGTCAGTCACCGCACCGGTGTGGATATTTACTGTACTTCGCAATCACAGATTCTAGCCTACGTCTTGGAATATGACCCAAATAAGAATTTTCACCGTATATTGCCATCTGAACAAGTAAGTAACAAGTCTGCCACGTTTGTTCTGACCAACTGAGGAAAAAAGCATTACCATAAATCTCGCTACCAATGGTGATTTAATCTAAAGATCGGTTAGCTCATATCACATCAAACCATTCAAATTATTATTATTGTTAAACTTTATTATTATTATTGTTATACTTTATTCTCAAATTATTAATGTTAGCAACATCAGCATTGGTGACTATGAGTATAGTGTAGTCTAGTGTATATTAGTGTATAGTCTAATCTAATTGTCATACTCTTCAAATTTCATATTAAGAAATTATTTTAACCCAAAAAGCTAATTATGCTCCCTTCCAACTGGTTTTCTTTAAAATACAAATCTTTGTAATCCCAGGCTATCTGTAATCAGAAGCACATTTATAACTGGAATATAATTTAATTTCATTCACATGTGTTTCATAAACACATAATCCTTTCTGGATTACAATCCGCCATCAAAACGATACATTTAATTATTCTGGCTGCTGTGAGAAAAGGCTATAAACGATCGGCCACCTGCAGGATCCTCATATGCGTTGATTTAAAAATGATTTCGGAACATTTTTAACCAAAAAGAGTTACGGACTCCAGCTTTAAGTAACAAAGGTCCTTTTTAGTGAAAGATAAAACATTACACAACTATTTTTTGAAGTTGCTGTTCGTGAAATCCCCACATTTTGCTGACCACCAGGAGTCTGTAGGTCACTAAACTGACAGAGGCTTATTCATTTAAAGTCCAGAAATAGCATTTTTAGTCTTCAGAAGCAATTTTTGATTAAATAATCACTCCTCAATGTGGGAACAGCAACATTTTGCAAAAATGCTGAGGCAAGGGATTGTGGGTATTTAGCCTCCCTTAAATGAAGTAACAAATCCTTGCATGTCAGAGCAAAATACAGCTATTGTGAAGCTGTACATTAATATTTATCATTATTTAAATTATTTGTTATTTTATTGTCTGTAAAGTGTTTAAGAGAACATATTTTTGTTCTGCAATCTACTATACATCATTATATTATATGGCTAAAAGTGCTAAAATCCTCTTGCGGTCATCTCTGTCTATTAGGCAACGGCTCAGGCTTGCTGTATGTGAATGAATGTGTTTGTGTGTGTGTCAGTCTTACTTTTAAGACTGGGATTATTTAAACTTCTACTGTTAGAATTGAAATTGCTGAGGTCATCGAAACCTGCCCCATATTACTGCAGACATGATGAGGTCATCAGCCCTCTCCCTGCGGTATTGGGTAGTGTGATGAGGTCACCGGGGGTGACACTTGTGCAAATACTGATATGGTGCTGTATTAACTCCAGCCCCTGAGGGAAGCCATCGGAGTCAGGGTTTCTTCGGTACCGGGAGCCTTTAATTTCCCTAATCTCTGTTTCTGTCGGGTGTGGGTGGGAGTGTGTGTGTGTGTGTGTGTGTGTGTGTGCATGTCTATGTGGTTTATGAGGACACAAATTTGTATAATAACATGGGTATGACATAGGTATTACAACGAGAAGGTGATTTATGAGGACATTTTCAGTGTCCCCGTAATTCAAAAGGCTTATAAATAATTCAGAATTAGTTTTTTTGAAAATCTAAAAATGCAGAAAGTTTCATGTGAGGGGTAGGTTTAGGGGTAGGGTTGGTGTAGGGCAATAGAAAATACGGTTTGTACAGTATAAAAACCATTACGCCTATGGAGAGTCCCCATAAACCATAAAAACAAACCTGTGTGTGTGTGTGTGCATTTGTAAGCAGAATATAAACTCCAGACTGAACCTGCTGTTTTTCTTCTGTTCTAAATCAGTCTGCAGGAAGAGGCAGAGATGAGTTCAGGTTCTGTTGTGATGGCTGTGTGAAATGTGCTGGAGTGAAGGGAAAACAAACTAATCAAAAGTTTCTTCGCATTTGCAAGTTGAATTTTAAATGAGCCAATAAATAAATAAAGGTTTCATTTGTTTTACTTGTTTATACTAATGATGATGCTTTTTCTTTCTTTGTAATAATACCTTTAAAATACCTCATAGTTAATGTAAATATAAATGATTTGCTACTTTGCTTGGGCTAATGAGTTTTTTATATTATACTTATAGTTAATAATTTATCTTAATTTTTATTTATTATAAAAAATGTGTCTTTTTAAAGAAAATGCATTTTCAAGCTAGATACGGTAGATGTTGCAATTTGTTTTTAATAATTTAAACAAATAATAAGAATAAGAATTATTGTAAATATTATTTATTGTAAATATTGTAAATTAGGATGGTTCAAAGAAGTTAGAATAAGTTGTCATAAAATTTCTGTGGCCAGTGAGTGTTACATTATGCATTAATTACACAAATTGTTTTTTTTTTTTTTTTTCAATTCAGTTTCAGATTTGTCAATTCAAGTTCAATTTTGGTTTTGTCACCTGCCAATATTTATCCATAACCAATTAAATATACTTTTCTTAATATGACTATACCATTAATCATTATAATCAAAATACAGATTTTTTTTCAAGGTATGTTATACACATAGAGGTGTTGTTGTAAGCAATAAATGACATTATAACATTTTTAAAAGCACTTAGATAAAGGCAGGTGTTAATTGGTGGTTATATGCTACAGTATTTGCCTGCTCACAATTTAAGACAATAGTTTAAAATGTGTTATTTTTGCTAACAGTCGACAATTTGTGCTAACAGTCATCCTGTGTCTCTACAGATTTTGACCCAGGAGGACTGGAATGTGGTTCTGTATAACGGCATGGCCTCCACCTCCCCCTGGGCGGCTCTGTACTTTGTGGCCTTGATGACCTTTGGGAATTACGTCCTCTTCAATTTACTCGTTGCCATCTTAGTAGAGGGCTTTCAAGCTGAGGTAAAACTGTATATGTTGGACTAGGGACTACAGTACAGTATATATATTTTCTTGAAATGTTTGATTGAAAAGTGTGCTTGTAATATCTTTCTTTAAAATAAATGCCAGCAACTTGCTTTGATATTTTGTATCTAATGCAGGGAGTACGTTTTGGCTTAAAACAATAGTTCACCCAAAAATTAAAATTTACTGAAAATATACTCACCCTCAGGCCATCCAAGATGTAGATGAGTTTGTTTCTTCATCAGAACAGATTTGGAGAAATGTAGCATTACATTACTTGCTCACCAATGGATCCTCTGCAGTGAATGGGTGCCGTCAGAATGAGAGAGTCCAAACATCTGGATTATTAATCCACATGACTCCAGTCCATCAATTAACATCTTGTGAAGCGAAAAACTATGAGTTTTGTAAGCATTAAATCCATCATTAAGATTATTAACCTCAAACCCTTGCTTCCAGCTAAAATAGTCTTCTATCCATAATATTGCTTTCTCCAGTGAAAAAGTAATCTCATCCGAATCAGTGGAGAGAAATATGCAAAAAGCAAGCACCGTTTACAAGGACAATCAGTCCAAAACAGTTCTAAATATCTCTTTGAATTTTTACTGGAGGAAGCTTTATTATGGACCAGGGACCATTATTTTGGCGATGGTTTAAAGTTAAAACACTTTAATGATGGATTTGTTTCTTACAAAACACACAGCTTTTAATTTCACAAAACGTTAAATGATGGACTGGAGTCATGTGGATTACTTGTGGATTATTGTGATGTTTTTATCAGCTGTTTGGACTCTCCTTCTGACGGCACCCATTCACTGCAGAGCATCCATTGGTGAGCAAGTGATGTAATGTTAAATTTCTCCATATCTGTTCTGATGAAGAAACAAACTCCTGTACATCTTGAATGGCCTGAAGGTGAATACATTTTCAGCAAATTTTAAGTTCTGGGTGAGCTATGCTACTTGTTTCACTTCTGTTTCAGTTTTTTTATAACCATTTCTTACTATGTGTCAGTAAGATGTTGTTATTTTAGCGTGTGTGTTTGTCTCAGTGTTATTTTTTTAGGATTAATGATAAACTAATGTAGTTTGATTTGTATTAGTTATCTATTTTAGTTGTTGTTACGTCATGTGGATTACTTGTGGATTATTGTGATGTTTTTATCAGCTGTTTGGACTCTCCTTCTGACGGCACCCATTCACTGCAGAGCATCCATTGGTGAGCAAGTGATGTAATGTTAAATTTCTCCATATCTGTTCTGATGAAGAAACAAACTCCCGTACATCTTGAATGGCCTGAAGGTGAATACATTTTCAGCAAATTTTAAGTTCTGGGTGAGCTATAATGATAAGTATAGCTTTTTATTTCTCCTCTTTCCTGCTACTTGTTTCACTTCTGTTTCAGTTTTTTTTATAACCATTTCTTACTATGTGTCAGTAAGATGTTGTTATTTTAGCGTGTGTGTTTGTCTCAGTGTTATTTTTTTAGGATTAATGATAAACTAATGTAGTTTGATTTGTATTAGTTATCTATTTTAGTTGTTGTTACAGCTGTAGTAATGTTGTCATTTTATTTGTTTTTTATTATGTCTATATGTTTTTTATTAAGTTTTAGTTTTATATAATTTGAGTTATTTCAGTACTTCAACATACAAAATGGAAATGAAATAATATATATATATATATTGAATGCATTTATATATATGTACATGTATATGTGTGTGGCTGTACATACACATATGTAGTTGTTTTTTGGTGTTTGGCTTAGTGTTATGTTAGAATCATTATTATACTCATACCTTTTGTCCTTTTAATATTTTGAATTGTTTTTAGCTTTATTTTTTTGTTTTCATTTAAACGTTAAGTTTTGAAATGTTGTTGTATGCATTTGTCATTTTTATTTAATTTATTTTATTTTCTTAAATGTGGGTATATATATATATATAGTATTTATAGAGTTTTAGCTTTTAGTTTTAATTACTTTTTCTTATTTGTAAGTCGCTTTGGATAAAAGCGTCTGCTAAATGACTAAAAGTAAAAGTAAGTAAAAGTAACTATTCCTTTAAGTCTCTAGATATTTTTGGGGGGCTACTACTGTAACAGATCACTGAAACTACTTTCTCTACTTTGCAACATCTGCGCGAATCCTTTGCACAACTGAATTAGATGTGGCCATATTGCATTTAATTGAGTTTCCAAGAGGGAATTTTCATGTTAAGAGTAAGATGCTGTCAGAGGACTAGAATTATTGCACTGTAACTCAATTACAGCGCAGTAAGCATTATGCACACCATGAAAAAGGGATTTCCTTTGAGCACCCATGGAAATGAAGAAAAACACACTCTTGTTTCCTTTCGTTATTTGGTGTCACATCAAAGAGATTGATTGTGTGGATTGGTGTATGTTTGGTTTGTGTGTGTGTGTAATTTTCATGTAGATGAGATTCATCTGTAGTGTATAAGCGCAGATGCTGAGCTGCAGCTGGTGTGATGTTTTTGATAGGAAATCACTTTCACTCAAACCTTCTGTTGTTCCTTTTTTTTCCTCTCTGTCTTTTATCTCTCTCTCTCTCTCTCTCTTGTCCACAAGGTACACATATCACACACATACATACTGGACACTTTACCTACTCACACAATACTCAAAATACACATTTCTCATTCTCATTCATTCCTGCTTTTCCACGTTTTCGCTTCTTTTCCCATCACTTTTTATTTTTTCACATATTTACAATTGGAAAATTTGGAGTATAAACAAGCAATCTCAATAGCTGTTGCTCCTGTGGCATAACCCATCTAGGAAGTACACAACCTGGTGTGTTTTGGTATTGAACAGCCACTTATCACAATAAAATTACCAATGGATTTCTTTCTAGTGAAATATCCTGTTTCACCATTTCAAATATGTAAAATTATGGAAGTAAAATGGTCCTGAATGCCGTTTCATGTTGATTTTAAATGCATGGAAAGAGAAAGTTAAATTTATTTTTCCCTATGCAAAGAGTAGTTTAATGTTTTGATCTATATACATAATAGAATTATCACTTTCCCTTTCAGTCGGTCACTCTAGACGTCACGTCGGATGACCGATGAATTGGGATCTCGCTTAGAGAGACCAATCTACTTCGAGTGTAAACTAAACGAGCCAATGCACATTGGCATGCGATTATTGCATCCAGCTGCCGCTGATCACGGCGTAAGTATAAGTAGGCAGCAGATGCAGCGCATATTCAGCTTTTCGCTTCGGAGCCGAGCGATCACATCGTTCTGATCCTGACTACTCTACTTAGAGAAGAAGACTGAACGAGTTCAACGCGCTCTTTGAGAGCTCTTTGTGTGGGCTGTACGGCACTTCAGCGGTGGTGGTTTCCCGTGTCGAGTGGGTTGCACACATCAGGCTGCACTACCCCCGTTTGTGTTGCAGGCGGCCATCTCCCCTGTGCACCTCAGCATGCTAAAATAATTTCCCTAAAAGAGCAATTACGGGTGCGTCTTTTTAAAGACGACGTTGCGTGGCAAACTTGACATTACGTCTTTGTAAAGACGATGTGGGTCTTGCTATAGACAACGTATCGCTCGGGCATTTCTGGATGTGGTCGTTACCTGGCGCTGGGCGATGGTCACGATCGCTGCCTCACGTGCCTGGGCATCTAGCACGCTGAGCTGGCGTTTGTGGATGAGTCATGTTCTCATTGCGGGAAGATGTTCATCTCAGAGTCGCGGGCCAAACTCCGTTTCCTAAAAAGGGGCGGAGTTCCATTGCCTCTGCCTCGATCTAGTTCTCGTTATGGCGGCAGTCAGGCAGGGGCTACTTCAGGCAGTAGCACAGGCGGTCTGAGGGTAACAGTGGTGGCAAACCCTCCAGGGAACCAATCCTCGGGGGACCATCGCTCCTCTTGCACTCCGCAACCAGTTGAGCTGCCAATGGAACGTGCTAGAAGCGTACCAGCCGTATCCTTTGGCGCTCCTCCCAACGATCAGATGTCGATCGCTGCATCGGAGGGTGAGCCAGAGCTTTCTGGAGAGGAAGATTCGGTTGCGCTGTTGTCCTCTAGGACTGTAGCAATGCCTGAATCGGATCCGGAAATAACGGCTATGCTTTCCCGGGCTGCCATGGGGGTAGGGCTCGAGTGGAGACTTTCACCGTTTTTTTGTTTTTTTCCGCCACTGACCTCTCGGTCGGTGCTACCCAAATACTCGACAAAAGAGCAATTTCCTCTATCTCTGGGTCCCCAGGGGGGACGGGGGGTTGTGGACGATCCAGTGTCGTATCACACTCACCCTCCTCTCTCACCAGTGAGCAGCAGTGGGCGGCTCGGGAGGACGAACCAACGGACTACCCACGCACCCTCTGCTCAAACGCAGGTCAGTGTTACACACACTCAGACCCCGGCCTCGGACCGGCTACGAGACGCCCGGGCCGGGTCCCTGCATTCTTCCTCGCTGCCCCACTGCGGGTACGCCTGTAGTTCCGTTGGTACCACTTGCGCAGCATCTGGGAACCTGGCTAGCACTACCCAGCCCGTCTCGATGGCTTCTTCGAACCGTCAGGCTCGGCTATGCGATTCAGTTCGCCCGGCGCTCTCCCAAGTTCAGGGGCGTCCACTTTACTTCAGTGAAAGCAGCAGATGCCCCTGTCTTGCATGCAGAAATTGCAGTCCTGCTGGCGAAGGATGCGATAGAACCGGTCCCTCCAGCCGAGATGAAGACGGGGTTTTACAGCCCCTACTTCATTGTACCCAAGAAAGGCGGTGGGTTAGGACCAATCTTGGACCTGTGTGTCTTGAACCGGGTCCTTCACCAGTTACCGTTCAAGATGTTGACACAGGAACGCATCTTCGCGTGCATCCGTCCCCGAGATTGGTTTGCAGCGATCGATCTGAAGGACGAGTACTTCATGTGTCAACCCTTCCGCACCACAGACCATTGCTGCGGTCAGACCTTGCATTTCTCTGGGCAGGAGTGCCCCGAGACCAGGTCTCCAGGCATGCTGTGGTTCACACAGATGCCTCAACAACCGGCTGGGGGGCCACGTACAATGGGCTTGCAGTGTCGGGGGTTTGGACGGGGCCCCAACTGCACTGGCACATCAACTGCCTCGAGTTGCTTGCCGTGCACCTTGCCTTGATCCGTCTCAAAGGGCGCTTACGAGGAAAGCATGTACTAGTCCGCACGGACAACACAGTGATCGTTGCGTACATCAACCGACAAGGTGGCCACCTCCTTTGGAGTCCCGTCGCCACAGCTCCTGTACCACCACTGAGCAGCCAGGTCACCGGCTCGGCTCCTCAGCAAAAACCTGAATATGCGCTGCATCTGCTGCCTACTTATACTCACGCTGTGATCAGCAGCAGCTGAATGCAATAATCGCATGCCAATGTGCATTGGCTCGTTTAGTTTACACTCAAAGTAGTTTGGTCTCTCTAAGCGAGATCCCAATTCGTCGGTCATCCAATGTGACGTCTCCGTTCCCTCCTTCAGGGAACGAGGGTTACCATATGTAACCGAGACGTTTTCTTATCAAACATGAATATTCATTACACATTTTCAGCATGGAATTTTAAAAACAACCATTCACCTGATTTTTTTTCTTCTCTTTCATTAAATTTGGTTATACCATGGACTTTTTTATTGCCTTTTTTATTTTGTTTTATTGGAGTTTTGGTTTAAAACTGAAACTGAGAACTTTGCCGACTATGTTGTATTTGATACTAAAATAAATAAATACAAAACAAATATGCATAAAAAAATAAATAAAAATATAAAAGCTACTTAAATAAATCATATTTAGTGACGCATATGAATCACACTGTTAAAAAAGTATACAAAGTATACATTAATAAATAATACTTAAAATGGATCCAAATGCTGTTTCATCTTGATTTTAAATGCATAGGAAGTTCAATGACTCACAGGAAATAGGACGAGGACTAAATTAAAAAAGTTTTAACTAAGCATGAGATTAGAAGGTAGAGAGTTGCATACCCTTGAAAGAGCAAATGTAATTGTGTTTTTTCTGCATTTATTTAAGCTGGCCTTGTGTTGTTTGGGTTGATGTGAAAATATGATGATTCATTACTGTGAATTCAACATTTTAGCCTTTAAATGTCATCTCTCTCTATTTTAGGGTGATGCTAGCAGATCAGACACTGATGACATGTCGTCTGACTATGGTGATGAGGACAAACTGAGAGAACTACTGAATTCAGGTGTGTGTGTGTGTGTGTGTGTGTGTGTGTCTGTCTGTGCATTTGTTTGTGGACAGCTTTTTTATGTGTTTTGTTATTTTATGCTAATCTCTTGTTGATATTAGGATCAGAGATGAAAATGCAGACATTAATGCCCATCTCCAATGGACATCTGGAACCTCGAGCATCCATGCCACCTCACAACACACACATACAGCTCAACGCCACACCCAGAACTGAGGTGTCACACATCTATAGCCAATCACGGCGCAACAGCAACACCTCCACCGAGCCCCATGACCAAAGATCCCTGGTGAGGAGTAAATGCCATTACAAGTAAACCTACACAAAGAGTAATCATAAACAAACATTTAAAATTATATTTAGATCTATAATCATATTAGAATTACAGCTTTTAAGGCTTTTCACACCAAATATAAATATACATTGTACATTTTCAGCGTGGCATTTCGATAGCAAACATTCACCTTAAGATTTTTTTTTCTTCTTCATTAAAGTGGTTTTTACCATGGCCTCTTACTGTTTTTATTGCCTTTTATATTTTGAGCTTTTGGAGTTTTGTTTTAATATTGATATGCTCCATTATATTTGATATTAAATTAAATAAATACCTAACCAAATATGCATAAATTAATAATTAAAAATACAAAAGTTATGTAAATAAATGTGTAAATCATATTTAATCATATATATGACTCCAACTATTCGGAATCCGTGTGTGTGTGTGTGTGTGTGTGTGTGTATACCCAAATATCTATCAATTAATAAATAAAACTACAAAAGCTTTGGAAAAAAATTATAAAACATAGTTAATCACATATATGTATCAGACTATTTTTAAAAAGTATAAATTATATAAATACCTGGACATCTCTGGTATGATCAGTTGCCCTTATCTATATAATATAATATAATATAATCCTTTTTTTTCTTTTACTGATTCCTTTTACTGATACTATTTTATAGACATCCATAACAACAGGAATAATTAATATAATTTAATTTTAGGTTAAATTATTTTTTTAATTATTAACCATCAAATTCAGTCATCCCAAATGATCTTAATTGTCATATCTAAGTGGTTACAAATTGTCCATGTTGTCCCTCTCACTGCTGTATATATGTCAACTTACTTATTTGTTTTTTTATTTGTTCTATCATAGTACACCACTTGTTGCATGCCGTGATAATCAGCTACAGTTTGTGTGTCTGTTGTAGTCCAGCCTTTGGGGAAGTCGCCGCTCCAGCTGGAACAGCCTTGGCCACACCCCCAGTCTAATGAGACGTGCTCAGTCAGGGGAGCGTGAGTCGTTGCTTTCAGGAGCGGGACAGGGCAGCATGGATGACAGCCAATCAGAAGATGGGAAATCCAGGACTGGCAGTCTGGGCGGAGTTTCATGTCTAGGGTCATTTGATTTTCCAGAGCTCCTCCAGGTTCCACGCCCATATTTGGAGTGTAATGGCAGATTAGATGGAGGGTATCCATCCTCTCCAAACATTACACGTGCTGATCCACCATCCACACAGGGGGCGGATGATGATGAATTTGAGGAGGTGGAAACTTGTCTTTAATAATTTTTTATTATTGACTATACTAATATATCAGTCACACAGATTAAATATTCTTGGCATTGTTAAATATTGCAAATATTAAGTGTTTAATAAGTATAATAAGTATAATATTTTCTTATAATATTTGGTATTATATTTCATTTAGAGCTGGTGTCTGATTGTGAAGAGACTGTTGGAGCCGTATAAACCCCAGTGGTGTAGAGACCATGAGGATTGGTCACTTTACTTATTTTCCCCCCAAAATAAGTGAGTGCAAACACAGCAGACCAGCTAAATACACACATATACACATCTAATGAATGCTGTGCTTGCACATTTTTATGCTGTTCACACAGCTTTTTCTCTTGTTCTCTGCAGGTTCCGAATGCACTGTCAGAAGGTCATCACTCATAAGATGTTTGATCATATTGTGCTGTTCTTCATCTTCCTTAACTGCATCACAATCGCTCTAGAGAGACCTGACATCCAGGCTGACAGCATGGTGAACACAACCACAACACCTATTCTAGCACTATCATCGAGCTTTATTATATTTGCATACTACTAGGGGTGTAATGGTACACGTATTCGTATTGAAAATACGATTTCGGTTTGGTACGCATGTGTACCGAACAAATACAGCATTGTTTTAACCACTGCACGAGTGGAACTTCATTGGAAACTTTCAGTTAAATTGTTTCTTTTGATAAGACACAAAGTCTTATCTTTCAAATTGTCATTTTTTCAGGAAATTCAAACAATAAATGCCGATTTGACGCTCTTTGATGTGGCGCAATCATCCCTTTCTCTTTACTACTAGTTATAATGTGAAATAAACATGAATGAACATCTCACACCTGATGTAATCGCTCAATCAGTGTTTTAACTGCGGAAAGACGTCATTAAAACATCTTGTAAGCAAAATGTCATGTCACATTTTATTTACCTCAGGCAAGTCATCAGTGTCCACAGCTTGTAAAACGACTCCCTATAGTTTAGAGCAGGGGTCACCAAACTTGGTCCTGGAGGGCCACTGTCCTGCAGAGTTTTGCTCCAACTTGCCTCAACACACCTATCTGGATGTTTCAAGTATACCTATTAAGACCTTGATTAGCTGGTTGCAGGACACCGGACCTCCAGGACCGAGTTTGGTGACCCCTGGTTTAGAGCATAAGCTGAGGTAGATTTTTAACCCTAAGAAAATGTTAATTATAATTACATTTATTTAAAGAGAGCAATTTGTTCAGTAAACCACTGGTTAATAAAAAAACAAAACAATTTATGTTTAGTTTTACCCCTGCTGTACCGAAACTGTACCGAACCGTGACTTTAAAACCGAGGTACGTACTGAACCGCCATGTTTGTGCACCGTTACACCCCTACATACTACTGTTCAAATGTTTGGGGTCAGTAAGATCTTTTAATGTTTTTGAAAGAAGTCTGTTATGCTCACCATTTATTTGATCAAATATACAGTAAAATCAGTAATATTCCTGTGATGGTAAAACTGCGTTCGCACTGCCGCTGACACAGAGAGAGCAGTTACCATGTTTGGTTAAGAAACAGCTTCACAAACAGTCTTTTCAACTACACAATATTATTTCTGTCGTACAGTCAGTCATATTATCACAGAAATACTGGGATGAAAGTTTATAATTCATATATAAACATTGATGTCTATGGTAGCATGACCAAAATAGAGCAAATCCACATTTGAAAGTAACTGCCACATAACGTTTGTGTCAATTGCATTGTTTCGCCACCAAGGTGGCGGAAGGTGATTTAAAAAATGTTTAATTGAATGAATCATATATTCAAGAGAATCGTTCAAAAACGCTGATTCATCCAGTAGGTTTATGAATGAGTCGTTGAGTCATTGATTCAAACAACTTTTTCATAATTTTTATATTAAATTGAAGTATTAAATATATTATATTTTAAATACATATAAACTACCAGTCAAACGTTTTTGAACTGTAAGATTTTTAATGTTTTTTTTTTAAAGAAGTCTCTCGCATTTATTTGATCCAAAGTACAGCAAAAACAGTAAAATTTTGAAATATTTTTACTATTTAAAATAACTTTCTATTTGAATATATTTAAAAGTGTAATGGATTCCTGTGATTTCAAAGCAACATTTATCTGAAATAGAAATCTTTTGTAACATTATAAATGTCTTTATCATCACTTTTGATAAATTTAAAGGATCCTTTCTAAATAAAAGTATTAATTGATATAACCCCCCCTCCCCTCAAAAAAAAAACTGACTGCAAGCTTTTGAATGGTAGAGTGTATAATGTTACAGAAGTGTTTTATTTCAGATGAATGCTGATCTTTCTATTCATCAAAGAATCCTGAAAATAAATGTACTCAAGTGTTTTAAATATTGATAATAATAATAATAATAATAAAATGTTTCTTGAGCAGCAAATCAACATATTAGAATGATTTCTGAAGATCATGGGACACTGAAGACTGGAGTAATGATGCTGAAAATTCAGCACTGCATCACAGAAATAAATTACATTTTAAAATATATTCAAATAGAAAGCCGTTTGTTTAAATAGTAATACTATTTCACAGTATTACTGCTTTTGCTGTATTTTGTATCAAATAAATGCAGGCTTGGTGAGCAGAAGAGAATTCTTTAAAAAACATTAAAAATCTTACTGTTCAAAATCTTTTGACTGGTAGTGTATATTAAAATGGTTAATACTTCATTCAAATTAATTAAACACTTTTAAATAGACTGCAGCAATCATATTTTGCCACACATTATTTTGTTTAGTTCAGAATCGTGATCTCTATTTGAGACCAAAAAAAATCGTGATTCTCAATTTATCCAGAATCGTGCAGCTCTAGTCGTGTTTTTTTGTTTTTTTTGTACTTGAGTGCAATACATTTTGGTTGAAAAAATGAGAAACGTGTAAGAGAATCGTGATCTCAATTCCCATGGAGAAAAATCGTGATTCACATTTTAGCAAGAATCGTGCAGCCCTAACATGATCCTTCAGAAATCATTCTAATATGCTGATGGTGTGAATGTGCTATGAATGGTGATGGTACATCTAACTGTATTATTGAAACTGCATTTGTAGCAGTGCCAGCGGAAATCTGATTGGCTGAGCCGCATTCAAAGCCACTGTAAAATAGCCGATAAACACATACCTGTGACCACACACCAGTTAAATTTTATATTACATAGTCTATATAAATATCATAAATTGTATCTTAGTTAGAACTAATGAACTGTATCACTTGGCAGAATTTATTTAAATTGTATTTAATTTATTTAAATGTAATAAAATTTAACATTTTAGATTTTTGTACATTTATTGAGAAAAAATTATCATTAATATTATTTTATCATAATAATATATGGTCATGTGGATTAACATTGGAAACTGATTTCAGAATGATATGATTCTACCCTTTTGAAAATTTTTAATGTGCATATAATCTATAAACCTAAAATAAATTTCCTGAATACAACTTTAAAATTATAAAATCCATTATATCTCAATCATGAAATGTCATAATATGCTAAATAAATGCTGTAAACAGCCACTGGGTGGATTCAGTAGGTGAAACACATTAACACCTCATAGATGCTCTTTTATTGGTCTCTAAAGGATGTGGTGCATTTGTTGCCTTTTTAAATGACATTTTCATGATTTATTTGTTTGTTTGACAGGAACGGATTTTTCTTAAAGTGTCTAACTACATCTTCACTGTGATCTTTATGGCTGAGATGACTATGAAGGTAGGAAATTAATACAATATTGTTAATTGATTTAATAAAGGCAAACATTTTAGTTTAGTAACTTATAATACAATAATAATAAAAGGTAGATTCAGGTCAACATTCTCATGACTGATTATGATTATTATGTTGTTGGTGTTGTAGGTGGTTTCTTTTGGGCTGTATGCTGGTCCAGGCTCATACCTGAAGAGCAGCTGGAATGTTCTAGACGGCCTGCTGGTATTTGTGTCTATTGTGGACATCCTGGTCTCTCTCGCCTCCTCTGGCGGGAACAGAATCCTGGGTATCTTACGAGTACTTCGACTGCTCAGAACACTAAGACCCTTGAGGTAAGACTCTTATTGAAGGTGTGTGTGGGTGTGTATGAATGTGTAGAAGTACATTAAGTCCTCTATTGTAGGCTGTTGTAATATTCTTAAAGGGGTAGTTCACTCATCTTTCTTTTGAGGAACACAAAAGAAGACGTTTAGCAGAATGTTCATACTGCTCTTTTGCAATATAATGGAAGTGAATTGGGGCCAGAGCTGGTGAACTCCAAAAATTCTCAATAAAAGTAGTGGATACAACTCTGGCACCATATTTCAATTAATCTGAACTGATGATGATGCACCACAATTTTGGCAACCAAAATTTAGGCGAAAATCTATTTTCGGTTTTGCCTGAAAAAGTTTTGGTGGGCCGAAATCGTTTACTGACACGGTTACAGAACAGCTTCACACACACACACACATATAGAGGTAGACATTAAGGGGGAATTCATGAAGAATTAATTATGTCCACTGGTGGCGTCTTTTATTAAAATAATCAACCTTCCCATTTGCCCTTTTTCTAAACCATCAAGCAACCCATTATATTTTAGATTCAGGTCACACAAGCACATTTCATCAGAATGACAGGATTCTGGTGGACAGTGTTTCTCATTGCTCTTCTGTTGTTTCATATGTGACATCTGTGCTATTCTTAGTTTAGACATGCAACTTTAATACCATCATGTAATTAATTAAATTATGTTTCACATCCAACATATGCTTGATTTGAACATCAAATGCTGACAGTTCAAACAATGAAAAATTAGAAAATTCAAAAAAATGAAAACACAAATATATTATGCAGCACAACTCTTTTCAACATTGATAATATGATAATATGAAATGTTACTTGAGCACCAAATTAAAATATTAGAATGATTTCTGAAGGATCTTGTGACACTGAAGACTAGAGTTATGGCTGGCATCACAGGAATAAATTGCATTTTAAGTTATATTAAAATAGAAAAGAGTATTTCACAATATTACTGTTTTTATTGTATATTTGACCAGATAAATAAGCATAAAAGACTTCTTTCAATAATATAAAATAATCATATTGACCACAAACAATACACTTAATGGAGAAAATTAAATTCAAGACTTATTCTTTAAAGGGGTCATCCTTTCTCTTTGAAGTGTTACAAGCTCTTGGTGCATAAAGAAGATCTGTAAAGTTACAAAGACTAAAGTCTCAAATCCAAGGAGATATTCTTTATAAAAGTTAAGAGTCAGCCACGCCTACCTAAAATGGCTCGTTCTAACACGCCCCCACATGTCTACGTCACGATGTGGGAAGATTTGCATAACACTGCCCAAATGTTCACGCAAAGAAAGAAGGCGTAACTTTTATTCTCGCTGTAGTATTGTTGCCGCCGCCGCCATGTCGTGAAGACGCTGTGTTTTGTTGTGAAAGCGAAACTACTTTGTTTGGCCTTCCAAAAGAGGACGATATCCGCTTCATCATGCCTACAGCTGATCCGTGCTGGTCGCTGAGGAAATACATCAACTTCGCGCTGTGGATCGCCGGATCGGCTTTCACCGTGGACGAAGCAGAGTCCAGCCCGGGGTCGTCACATGTGGTTGCCACAAGCCGTTCTCAAGCCCACCGCCCGTCGCTCAATCAGCACGCCAGCCTCCGCTCACTCTAGGCCGCCGTGTGTGACGCTGTGTTTCGTTGTGAAAGCGAAACAACTTTGTTTGGCCTTCCAAAAGAGGACACGACTAGAAATCAGTGGTTAAGTTGTATTGAGGACTGTTTCCTGATCCTGGTAGAGTAGACTACAATGCCGGCTGTTCTGACTCACAGACTGTAAGTA